CCACGAAATTGGTTTCAATGATTCCCACGATTTTTGCTTTCCATAACACGATTTTTGCTTTCCATAATTTCTGCCCTTTAATTAAAGTTGCGGTTCTAAAAATCAAGGAAAAGATTCCTCCAGTTTGTAAGTTCCCGTTTTTTACTCCTTAACTACCATCCACAATTTGCAATAACTTTTTTTAACTTTTTAATACTTAAGTTTTTTTTTAAAAAGGAGGAATAATATCAGTTATTCCAACAAAACAGTCGGCATCTCAAAGGCAGAAGTGCATCTCCATTACCCCCCACGACTGATCGTGGTCTGTAACGTCTTCTTCCAACTCCAAAATCTCAAATTTATATACACATCTATAACTCCATGATTTATGTGCTTTATATTTTCAAAACCTTTTCAACTTCATATTTCATCTACTACATTCTGATTGCAATTACTTTGCAAGTATGGCCACACAAATTCATGATATCAAACAAATATCATCCAACTCGATGCAATGGAATCTCAAAGTTAGAGTTGTTCGAATGTGGATAATGCCGGATCGCTTTAACCCGCAAATACCGTTTTCAATTGAATTGGTTTTACAGGATTCTAAGGTAACATATTCAACTTTGTCATAGTTTTAAACTTACTAATGTAGTCGCATTCCATATGAAAATTCTTTCTTCCGTATTACTTAAATAATTCGACTTCCATATCAACAGATGTTTAACTGATCTGGAATCCATTGTGTCATTTCGTTTTTCACTTCGAATGTTGAGTATAACTTTAGAAAGTGATTGTCCTTATATTAACAATCAGGTAAGTTGCATCTTTGTACATAATAACCGATTTATTGTTCAAAATAGCAGAGGAACTGTTCTGCTATTAAAGAAGTATTGTTCAAAATATATAACTTCGGTAAATATTAGCTATTGCTTGCCTTGGTTACACGATCATCGGATGAACTTATAGAAACTATGTTTATATTTGCAATTTTCAGCTTTGTTTCTGCTTATGTTGCCTTCATAATTGATATACAACAACTGTAGCATTTTGGTTTTTGACATTACATCTTTTAACAACTTTACACATTGATGAAAGTATATACGCCCTTACATTTGTTGGGTTCATAATTGTGCACTAATAATTAATCTGAATTTGCAGGGTGATCGTATACATGCTACAATCGGAAAGTATGTTCTTAAGTTTTTTAGGAACAAGATACATGAACTTCGCTTATATCGTATGAACTACTTTGTAGTCGGACCAAATAATTTGAAGTTGAGGACTACGACACACAACTTGAAGCTGACATTTACTCAAAAGACATTTGTCGAGGAAACAAATGATCCTTCATTTCATATGAACATCTTTAACTTGCGCCCTTTTGACCAACTAACAAATCAACATGATGTCGATGAGATAGAATTACTCGGTAATTTTTTTTAAAATTTTAAATGAAGTTAAAAATGTTATTTCTCAAAGTATGTCACTAACCGCTTTTATCTCATTGCTGCTTTGGAATCGCGAAGCTATGCAACTTATAGGGAAGTCCGCAAAAGAACTTAAGGAAAGATTAGTTGAGGTATACTACTAAAGTTAATTAGATTAACCATAAAAATATTTCTAACTTATGAAATTTGGTGCAGACTTCACTTGCGGATGCTGACTGTTCTTATCCAAGTGAAATGGACGATATTCTTTATAAAAATTCATGTTCAAGGTTATTGTTAAGCAAGAGAATATTGAGTCACAGGTTGAAGTGTACAAAGTTCTTAAGTTTACTGATGATGATGACCTTCTAAAGGAATACGGCCATACTTTATTCGAAGACAATATGAATGTAAAAATTTTTTAACGCACAAACCTCATCATATATAATTTATGTATAAATACTTTTCCACATATAGGATGATCTTTCTTTTTTATTTTTTTTTAACAGGATCCACATTTTTTGGATGGACAAAGCTCAAGTGGAGATAAGCTTTTCGGGGTAAATTTCATGAAATTTAAACTTTTACGCCATTTTTTTTTTGTTCTGCAACTGCTATTAAATTGTTTTGGTTTTTCAAAGGATCTTATGGCCGAAAGTCAACTTAAGTCTGTTTTGCAAACACCCATCGAGAAAAGTGTATCTGAAAGTGGATCGTCGGTGTTAGACGATGGAGATGCTTGCAATGCAAAAATATCCCCTTTGAAGACATATGACAAGAAGACTAGATCCGCTAATAAGGCATCAACAGTAGGAGTAGATGATGACTTCAATTCTCAACTGTCTAGCAACAAGGTTCGCAGAGTCGTAAAGAAAGAAAAGAATCCCTGATTAGTCTTACTGCAATGCGTCTTGCTCTGCACTTATATATTTTGTACTTCTTTCGCTTCAATGTTCTGCGTTTTATATGTTATATGGTAAAATGACTCTTTCTATGGAACTTCATATTTTCTTTATCAATCATGATGCGATTCTGTTAAAAAACTAAGTGTTGCAGTTGCTAAGATGCAAATTTATAGGTTGGGCTTTTTGGATTTAACAGATCAGTTTTTGATGCTTTGTGAATTCCTTTTATGCAGTTTTAAGTCATTTTTTTATATGCCTATTCTTTATTTGTTGTCGTGGTGGGTCGATGTACTTTAACGGTGGTTTTAATGGACGCTTAGAGGTGATTCATGGTTGTTGTGGATCAAGTATGCTGGCTTTAGAGCTGCATTTTAAGGGGTAGAGGTGGAGTAGTTATTTGTCCATAAAATAAAACGTCTTCATTCCTCATTCATATGTGGCTAACTAAGACATTCAGAAGCCACACCTCCTTTTTTACACATCTACCCCGAAGGATAATGTATAAGGGAGTTTTTCCATTTAAAGTGACATTATTCGAAATGGGATTATTTATTTATTTTTAGAGTCGCCACTTGGGATAGGATTGGCTTTTGGTGTCCCAAGTCACCGATTTAATTTAAATCCCAAATCGAGGAAAATTTCGACTACCCAATTGGAGTCTGCGAACCAGAAATTCTGTGTAAGGAATTCTGTTGACCCGAAGGAAGGCGTTAGGCACTCTCGGATCCCTTGGTTCTAGCACGGTCGCTTAAATTATTATAAATGGCCAAAAATCTGGTTTTTGCAATTTTTAAGATTATTTACCGCTTTTAGTTATTTTTACGAAAGTGAACGCCGTTTAAGAGCGTGTTTTCGGATCACGTCACATGAAATGCACCCGGATCCGTGACACCTCTTATTCAACGTTTTGGGATTTGGATTTGGATTGCATGAAATGCACACCCGAGTTTAGGAAAGTAATATTATTAAAATTCGCGCCCAAAGTGACTAGCGTATTATTATCTTTGCAGTAGCCATGAAAATTCGCTAAATGGCATGTCCCGAATTTTAAGATATTTTAACACAGTATTTAATGAGGGCCCCGCAATTTATATGTTTTATGCGGCGAGGCTCGTCTCATGTTTTACTTAAAGGCCATCCTAAAAGAAACTATGATTTTCTATTACAATGTTGTCTCTAAAGGGCCCTAATTAATTAGCATTTATAAATTCGGGTCTCAAATTCAAGTCCGAATTCAAACAAAAGGGAAGATCCTCTTAATTTGAACCCGCCACCTAACTTGAAACCCAAATTTATATTTGTGAATTAATTCCCGATATCCTAATGTAGTTTTAAAAGACTTCTGGACTTAACAATTTGGACTTTGAACATTGGGCCCAGTCCTGTGACATGGAGTTGTCCAATAACTGGGCTTTCAGCGGCAGCCCAATGATGGCAATATGTTTCGAAGCAAAGGCCAGGTTGTCTATTGGGTAAGAGGGCTAAACGTTGGGCCTAACACATGGCCCAGCAGGGAGGAACTGTTTGCCAATTAAACACACTCAATCCAAATTCGATAGTTGTTTGGGTTTGATCCACATGCTCTGAAAATTTGATGCTGGAAATTTGAACATGCTGAACATGCTGAAGCTTAAATGTTGAAGTCGTAACTAAGATAATGCTGATCATGCTAAAAAAAAAAACACTGAAGCCAATACTATTGACCAAGCACCTGGAGTTCGAACTGTAACTATTTAGGTTC